TCAGTTATTTGCTTCTTCTGTTGCTTCTCTTTCATTACAACTGAAAAGTACTTAGTATTTGAATTCCTAGTTTGATCCAGGTGGCTCTTGACTTTTGCTGCAGTGCAATTTCCTCTATCAAAGACCATTTCTCCAATTGAATCAGATAATTTTTCTCCTGATCAGCCAATGCATCAGAGTAAGTATCCCCCAGTTCATCTTGAATCCTTTTCAGGTTTGATCTTGCTTGGTTCATCTTCTCTGTAATCCCTTTGAACTCTTCTAAGTTCAGCTGTTTAAGTGCAGGTTTCATGCCTTTTAATTTGAGCCAGATATTCTTCATTTTCTCTGTAGCTTTGTTTCTACCCCACTCTACTTCCACAATTTGCTTCAATCTGGGATGTTCTATCCAGACATTGAAGAACCTGAAAGGAACTTTGATGTTTCTTCTGGATTCTCTCATTGGGATGACAATGGGTGTATGATCAGATAGAATGGCTCTCCGTATATTGCAGTCAAGTGCCCATATTGAAGCATCCATTCATCATCGGCAATTGCTCTATCAATCATGATACACACTCTATCATTCCCTCTCTATTTGTTTGTCCAGGTGTAGTATTCCCCTTTCCAAGGAATCTTATTTAGCAACAGTGTGTTGCAACATTCAAAGAAATCTTTTAACTCAGCTAATGAGATAGTTGTTCCAGATAACCTGTCATTGGGGTGTAGGACATTCAAGTCCCCACTAATTAGCCAAGGTGTATTGATCATAGGAGCCATCGCTTTCAATTGATCCCATAATTCTTTCCTTTCTTCCACTTTATTAAAGCCATAAACTACTATAAGTATACAATCTATTCCATTCTGCCTTCCTGTCACCATACAATGAATAAACTGACTTGTACTAGCTAGATGTTGTATGTTATAGGCTTTAGCTTCCCATACTACCCATATTCTTCCATCCCTTGCATCTTTGTAGTTGCTTATTCTCTCCCAACCAGGAACAATCTTTTTGGAAACCTATGGTGCTTTGTTTTCTTTCACTCTAGTTTCTAGGATTCCAGCTATTTTTATATGATTTTCTTTGAGATACTGCTTTAGTTCCTTCTGCTTGTACCTCTTATTTATTCCTCTTATATTCCAGACAATCCAAGTCATTGGCCATGTTGTTTCCCCCCTCCTGTATCAGGGGGTTTCTGGCCTTCTTCTCTGTGTCCTCCTTCATGCAGTACCTGGAATCCATTCTTTGTTGAAACAGCTATATCTAGGCTTCGCCAGATTAAGTTGTTTGTTTGCTGCTCTTTACTCCCACTTGTTGTTGGCTTATCAACTTGTTGTGAAGCTGTGGTGTTCCTTTTAGCTTAACCTGCATCCATTCTCCTCCTTTAGCCTCTTTACTCTCATTGATAGGCCGTTGATCCTTTTGATCTGTTGCAGGGTGTTGTATCAGCTGCCTAGTTGGTCTCCATGTAGGAAGTAGTCTTGGTCTCCTTCTCCTTTGTACCTGGTCTGCCTTCTCCTCATGTGTTGCTTTGGCACAATTATGTCCAAATTTTAAGCATTTGGCACAGAAATCAGGCTTCCACTCAAATTCAATATCCTGCTGGAATTGCCTACCAGAGGGATCATTCACTGTTATTTCACTAGGTAGCTCCTTTGTGACATTAACGTTAATGAGGATTCTAGCATAAGATACCCTAGTCTGCTTGGTGGTGCATCCATCAGCAAATAAAGGGTTTCCTAGTGTGTTAGCCATTCTGCTCAATGACTTACTCCCCCAGCAATTCATCGGGAGCTTAGGAAACTTGACCCACAGAGGAATTTTCGTCAGAAACTCAGCCTTAAAGTCAAAATCAGGAGTCCATTGCTTGAGAATAATTGGTCTGCTGCTTATGGTGTATGGGCCTCCATATAGTATGTCTTGTAGATCCTCAATACTCTGAAATCTAACAATATAATAACCCTCTTCGTGTAGGTAAAGTTCAGGTTCTGCAATAGCATTCTAATATTGAGCAATATATCTACACATATAGTTATAACCCGGCTTTTCCCCAATCACATAAACAATGAGTAATTTCCTCCATTTTTTTGTTTCATTTTCAACCTCTGTTTTATCTAGGTTAACCACAAATTTGCCGTCCACAATTTCAGGCGGGTTATAGGTTAGGTTCGTACCATGTTTAAATGTTTGATTCCCAGCAAATAAGGTTGTCCGTGGAGTCTCAAGTATAGCTTCCGGCGCCGGAGGAGGTGGGTCAGCATTCTGTTTGCCTTTGTCCAATGGAATCTCTGCTCTATCCTGCATTTCCTCCATTGTAATCGTTGCCCTAGCTTCCCCATTTGATTAAGCGATGCTCTTTGCCGAATTTGCTGAATTTGGTACTTCACTCAGTTGATTTGGGATCAGATTAAGCCCATTCGATGCCGCTACTTTTGTATTCTGCAATCCCAAATCAAGTGTCTTAGTTGGAAGGTTCCCAATTGGGGTCACTACCTTTTGTGTACTTCCTTGTTCAAGGGTTTCTGCAATCACACTTGCACTGATGGAGCTTCCTACAGTAACAGGTGGTTGATTTTTGAACAGTCTTCCTCTCTTCTAAGCCATGGCGTCGACGGGTCAGTGCAGGTTGGCATAACCTACGCCGAGAGCAAAGCTAGAGAGAGAAAGAAAGCTTGCCGATGTAGTTCATCTTTAACTATGTTTGATGGTTTTCTTTAATATTCTTTTATGTTGCAAATCGTATAAATTGCAGACTGATGAACAAGTTTATATTTCACTAAGAAATAATGAATCTTTTCTGGAATGGTAGGAGCTTGATAAATTTGAATATGTAGTTATTATTTAACTATTTGATGGTTTTTTAATATTATGTCGGTCTTTAGTCCATCTTAATTAATCAACAAAGAGTTTTGAAAAATTTATTGCAATGGTGGAAGCCGCAATAATGACTTGACAACAAAGCAAATAAGGGTAGAAAGAAGCAAGTAGTTGATATTTTCCTTATTGCAATAAACAAAACGGAAAAGGGTCTGATATATCCCTCTACTATTAAAAATTATTTAGAATTAACCTTTGCTATACTATTAGTTTAGAAGAACCCTTACCGTCTTTCTATTGAAATACATATACCCCTAACTTGGCAGACTGGAATGTGGCACTCATCCAACTCATTTGGTCCATCTGGTCTTAATTTAAAAGTGACCCGCTCCATTACCCGGTACCCAAAACCCATAACCTGAACTTGTTAAAATCATGAACGGAAACATCCAATATCTTCGGGAGGCGGAGAGATCCTCATACATTATCTTAGTTGAATTTCCATTGATAGGCCAGAGCAGCCACTAATAATTCCAGCCATCAATTCCCGACTATCCTGCTGCAGACAACTCAATTTTACATAAAATTCTTCAAATAACTATATGGGTCAAAATCCGACAGAGGAAATTCAGCATGAGGAGGTGATTATCGAGAGAATTGTAACTTATGATGGGTAGTTTGGCCAAGGTCGGTCAGTGGCGAACAGAACAAGATGTTGAGTGGCTCATCAGGGCCGAGGTCGAGCAGCAAGGGACAGAAGTAATGGCTAGTACAGCTTTGGAACTAGCAAATGGAATATTCTATTGAATATTCCTTCTGTTGTACCTTTTAGGGTTTTTTCGGGAATATCTCATATAAATAGTAGGAGAGATAAGGCAAAAGGCACGTAATATTCCATTTGAGAAGAATGCTTTTGGAAAGTAAGCTCTCTAGATAAATACAAAGAACAACTTTCTGAGAGAGATTTGATCCTTACAATCAATCCACTGTCATTTCCATCAGATCCGAGAAAGTGTATAATATTCTCTCATATTCTTGTCATTCGTCAGAAGAAGGAATCATTCACCACTTTCATGTTGGGTGAATCTTCCTCCTTATTTACATTCAATGTCATTTATTATTATTTATATTCTTGTTCTCATCATATTAATAATAGCCACATTTATTATGTTTTGCATTAAATCTACTTCGACATGGTCCCACATTACCCATGTAAACTAATTTTTAGATCTAGGTATATTATCTTTAACTAGGATTAATCCTTTATACTTTTACTTAATTAGTTTAACAAAGAGTTTTATACTTTTTGGTCAAACAATTTGGCGCCGTCTGTGGGAAATTTCTAGTTAAAATTTTAGTTTCTTCTAGATCTAAAAAACGCAAAAACCCTACACTTATGTACACAAATCTAACATGGCAGGCAACGGAGAGGAAAAGAGAAAAGAAATAGCCGACCCCACCACCAACCTCCTTCACACCATCAACGAAGTCAATGAAACGGAGGGTGAAGACATAATTCCAAATACCTTTCCCAGGAGAAACAGCTTGCCCCCTCCTCACGGCAGCATCACAGCCTCACACGGTAAAGGGGCCTCTACGTCCACAACGGAAGAGGCGCCACCGGTAGTGAAAAAGCTGCTCGAGGCGTGGTTGACAAACACATTGACCAGCATTCTCAACAAGCCCGCTCAAAGGCCGAACCGAGAAGATGCAAGAGTTGGTGTTGCATCAACGACAGACAAGCAACACTCCCCCTTGTAACAGGTATTACTCACAATGTTAATGATGCAGATAACGACACCCTCACAGCCATTCTGAAGAAAATGGAAGGGATGGAGAATGAGAACAAAATGCTCCGCAACCATATGAAAGAGCATCAAGAAAGGGTAGATAAAATATCGGGCACCCCGAAACTCCTACCAAAAAGGGACGCCGGTCAGTTTGTTGAGCAGTCATACAGCGACGAAGCTGCACCACACGCAATATCACAAACCTTCATAACGTCATCGTACCTGAAAATATACGACGGCACAACGGACCCTGAGGATCATGTGACCCACTACGTCACCGCAGTAAAAGGCAACGACCTCGCCAAAGAGCAAGTATCCTCCATCTTGTTGAAGAAGTTCGGTGAACCCTCACCGGGGGCGCGTTGACTTGGTATTCACAGCTGCCCGCACGCTCGATTGAAACAATCGAAGAGATGGCCGACAAGTTCGTGACGGCCCATGCCGGAGCAAAAAAGGCGGAGGCACGAGTAAATGACATATTCACCATCAAACAGTCACCTGGAGAGGGACTAAGGGACTTTCTTGCTCAATTTAACCAAGTAAGGATAACCTTACCAAACGTATCGGAAGGAATGTCCTTCGCAGCCTTTCAAAACGGGCTGAACAGAAGCGGTTCGAGAGCGACCAGAAAGCTGCTAAGCTGCCTCATGAAATAACCCTCGACCACTTGGGACGAAATACACAATGCCTATTGCGCCGAAGTCCGAGCCGACAAAGATTATCTGAATGGGCCAACCCAACGTCTAACTTCGGTACAAGCCAAGTCCAGAAAGGACCGGAGAAACGACAACAGGAGAGATATAGCAGGACCCCGACCTAATCGGGAAAGACATCAGCCCTACGTCACTGTCACCCTTATGCCACCCCCTAGCCATGACGAAGGCCCATCCAGGCCACGAACAGGAACTCATCGAAGTGAGAGAGGTATGCCCCCCTTATTATCCGCTTACAATTTCTATGTTTCCCCCTCAGAAATAGTCTATGCACTGGAGAAGCTCGGCCTAAAAGTGAAATGGCCGCAGAAGATGAGATCTGACCCGAGCAACAGAAAGTCAAATGCCCTCTGCGAATTCCACCAGGAGCGGGGTCACAAAACCGAAGACTGTATCGCCTTAAGACAAGAGGTCGTGAACATGCTTCACCAAGGGCACTTGAAAGAACTAATGAGTGACCAAGGGAGAGACAACTTCACCCGTGGATGTGAACAGCACCAGGGACCACCCAAACCACCATCCCCGGCTCGAACCATTCAAATGGTCATCGAAGGGGGAAACGATGCATCAATCAACAACGTGAAGGTCACCACCACCCACAAACTCAAACGGTCGATCACTCATGAACGGTACGACGAACTAGAAGAAAGTATCATCTTCGATAAGTCGGATACCCACGGTTTGGTTTTTCCTCACTATGGCGCCCTTGTCATTACTTTATGCATCTTAGATACTGATGTAAAACGTATTATGGTCGATGACGGGAGCGGGCGTGCATCATCCACCCTCGAGTTCTCTCACAAATCAGCTCGAGGATAGGATAGTGCCACGCTGCATCACACTAACATGTTTTAACAATGCAGTTGAGCGAACGTCCGGAGAAATCATGCTGCCCGTCCTGGCCAGCGGCGTCACTTTGGAGACCACGTTCCACATCATGGACCAGGATACGATGTACAATGCCATCATAGGTCGATCTTGGATCCACGCCATGAAAGCCGTCCTCTCCAGCTTATATCAAGTAATCAAATTTCCCACTCCTTGGGGGGTATTCAGCATCCAAGGAGAACAACGAACTGCCCGGGAATGCTAGAGCATCGCCCAAAACTACACACACCCCCAACAATTAAAGGGTAAAGCTAAAGAAGCATAGCAATCAATAGGGTCGAGGTCGAGCGAGGACAAGAAGGATGTGATGAAAGATCCCGAAGTCATAGAAACTAAGAGATCTACCATAGAAGACCTCGACCCCGTCCAACTCGATGATAACGATCACAACAAGAAAGCTTTCATCGGCAACAAGCTCCATGAACCAGGTAAATTCTGTTGATTCTTAAAAAGTAACGTAGACCTGTTTGATTTTTCCCATGCAGACATGCCAGGTATCCCAAAGGAGATAGCAACACACAAGCTGAACGTCGACCCATCCCCCCCCCCCCCCGGTGAGACAAATCAGGCAGAAATTCAACGCCGCCATAAATGATGAGGTCCGCGAAGAGGTAGAGAAGTTGTTGGAAAACGGCTCCATCATAGAGTCGAGATATCCTCAATGGGTCGCTAATGTGGTCATGTTGAAAAAGAGGAACGGAAAGTGGCGGATGTGCGTGGACTTCTCAGACTTAAACAAAGCATGCCCAAAAGATTCGTTTCTGCTTCCTCATATCGACCAACTCATTGATGCAACGGCCGCATACTCGGGCTATAATCAGATCCTCATGGAAGAGGAAGATCAGGAGAAGACCACCTTCATCACTCATCAGGGAACGTACTGCTACAGAGTGACGCCTTTTGGACTGAAAAATGCGGGGGCGACGTATCAGAGGTTGGTGACAAGAATGTTCAAAGACCAGCTCGGTAAAACAACGGAAGTCTGCATCGATGACATGTTGGTCAAATTGAAAAGGAATGAGGATCACATCGACCACCTGAAAGAAGCCTTCGACGTACTCAGGCGGCACGGTATGAAATTGAACCCCGAGAAGTGCGCCTTCGGAGTAACCTCAAGAAATTTCCTCGGTTTCTTGGTATCACAACGAGGCATCCAGGTCAACCCAGACCAAATCAAAGCTATAGAAGGAATACCAGACAACCTGACTAGCAAGAAACAAGTACAAAAGTTGACCGGCCGCATAGCCGCCCTATCGAGGTTCATCTCACGTCCTCCGATAGATGCCATAAATTTTTTGGCGTACTCAATAAAGAATGGACTCCAATGGAACTCCGAGTGCGTCGAAGCCTTGAAAGAATTGAAGGTGTAACTATCCGCTCCTCCACTACTCACCAAGGCGGAACCTGGTGAGCGTCTCCCGTCTATCTAGCCGTGTCTGATATGGCCATGAGTGCGGTCCTGGTCCGAGAAAATAAAGGTACGTAATCTCTCATTTATTATATTAGTAAAACTCTGGTCGATGCCGAGATGAGGTATCCCCACCTCGAGAAGCTGGCTCTGGCTTTGGTCGTAGCTTCACGAAAGCTTAGACCCTATTTCCAATGTCACCCCATCTCGATAGTAATGAACTTTCCTCTGAGGAGTATTCTGCACAAACCCGACTGTCGGATAGATTAGCCAAATGGGCCATAGAATTGAGCGAGCATGATATAACCTATCAGTCGCAGACGATGATAAAGTCTCAAGTGCTCGCCGACTTCAGCACAAAAATAAGGCCTGAAGTCGAAAAAGAAGCCGCCCATACTTCCCCCAAAACACACGACCTACGAGTATTGTATACAGATGGCGCCTCTAACTCGTCAGGATCGGGACTTGGACTCATGCTCGAGGTCCCAACAGGCAAAGTAATTCGCCAGTCCATAAGATGCCCAGATATGACTAACAACGAAGTCGAGTATGAGGCCATGATTGCAGGGCTAAAGTTAGCACTCAAGTGCGGAGCGAAGCGAGTCGTCCTACAGTGTGACTCTCAGCTCGTCGTCAATCAAGTCACAGGGACTTTCCAAATCAAGGAACAAAGACTGCAAAAATACCAGGCCGAGATCTGCAAGCTGTTACTCGAGTTCGATGAATGCTAGCACGACCAAATCCATCGAGCACAAAATATCGAAGCAGACAACCTTGCCAAACTAGCAGCGGCCACTAAAAGCATAACAAGAGAAGGGAACGTGGTCACTCTCCTCCAGTCGTCGATCGATCAAATCGAGGTACGAACTATAAACCTAACTTGGGACTGGCGCAATCATATTATCACATATTTGCAGGACGGAGTGCTTCCAGACGACAAAAAAGAAGCCCAAAAGCTTCGAATGCAGGCGGCCAGCTACAACGCCATCAACAACGACTTGTACAAAAGAACATATGGTGGCCCCCTAGCAAAAATGCTTAGGCCCAAACCAGAGGCGGCGCGTCCTCGAGGAAATTCACGAAGGTCACTATGGAGCTCATACCGGCAATTGAGCTCTCGTCAAATTCCTCATACGAGCAGGCTACTACTGGCATACAATGAAAAAGAAGCCACCGACTTCGTAAAAAAAATACGAGCTATGCCAAAAATACGCCCCCATGATCCACCAAACGGGTGAGCACCTCCACTCAATCACCTCGCCCTGGCCTTTCATCAAATAGGGAATGGACATCGTTGGACCCCTCCCAGTGGGACGAGGTAATGTATGATTCCTTTTGGTTTTAACTGGCTATTTTTCCAAGTGGGTAGAAGCAGGTGCATTCGCCCAAATACGTGAGCAAGAAGTGATCACCTTCATATGGAGGAATATCGTGTGCCGTTTCGGCCTTCACAAAGAAATCAGTTGTGACAACGGGCCTCAATTCACTGGGAAAAAATCGCTGAGTTCTTCGAGAAATGACATATCAAAAGAATACTCTCCACGCCATATCATCCCGCGGGCAATGGGCAAGCGGAATCCTCCAACAAGTCAATACTGAATATCATGAAAAAGAAGCTCAAAAATGCCAAGAGAATGTGGCCGGAGTTGCTGCCGGAAGTGCTATGGGCATACCGCACAATGCCGAAAACAAGCACAGGAGAAACACCGTACTCACTGGTATATGGTACTAATGCCGTAATACCGATCGAGGTTGGAGAACCAAGTCTAAGGTACTCACACGAGAGCGGGTCGAGAAACGATGAAAGCAGGAGGCAAGACCTTGACGAGGCTGAAGAACGAAGAGATATGGCTTACATAATAATGGTCGCTCAAAAGCAACGGGCAGAGCGATACTACAACAAAAAAGGCCAAGATCATACCGCTCAAAATCGGAGACTACGTACTCAAAGCCAAAACACAGGCAAGCAAGGACCCACGAGAAGGTAAGATAGGAACTAATTGGGACGGCCCATATAAAATCACGGCGGCAGCAAGCAAAGGGTCGTTCCAACTAGAAACAATGGAGGGGAAACTATTACCAAACAAATGGAACATCGTCTACCTCAAGTACTTCAACTTCTAAGGAAAGATGTTCTCCGAGCCGTACTCTTTTTCCCTCACCAGAGTTTTGTCCCAATTGGGTTTTCTTGGGGAGGTTTTTAACGAGGCGACAAGGAGGACATTTCAAAGTTTAAGGCTCGAGCAGGTGAGATTACGATTTGGCAAGTTCATTGCTCGACCCCTCGAATACTTCTCCAGGCCGAACAATAAAGGTACTAGATAGACTGGGACTAGAATACCAGCCCGAAAAATATGTAAACTTCTCCAATGTATATATGTAAGCAAAGCATACAAACACATGTTGTTAGCCTATGTCTCCACCAAGTTTTAACTCTGCACCAATCAATGCACTCATATTCGACCTTGTTCGAATCAACCGAGTCAACATTTGACCTCGTTCGAATCGACTCATATTTACCTCGTTCGAATCAACTAAGAGTCAACATTCGACCTCGCTCGAATCGACTCATATTCGACCTCGTTCAAATCAACTACGAGTTAACATCCGACCTCGTTTGAATCAACTCACATTTGACTTCGTTCGAATTAGTCAAAACTAACATTCGACCTAGCTCGAATCAACTCACATTCGACTTCGCTCGAATCTATTAACATTCGACCTCGCTCGAATCGGCTCATATTCGACCTCGTTCGAATCAATTACGAGTAAAATTTGACCTCATTCGAATCAACTCATATTCGACCTCGTTCAAATTAACTACGAGTCAACATTCGACCTCGTTCGAATCGACTCATATTCGACCTCATTCGAATCAACAAAGAGTCAACATTCGACCTTGCTCGAATCAACTACGAGTTAACATTCGACCTCGTTCGAATCAACTAAGAGTCAGCATTTGACCTTGCTCGAATCAACTCATATCCGATCTCGCTCGAATCAACTACAAGTCAACATTCGACCTCGTTCAAAAATCGACTCACATTTGACTCCGTTCGAATTAATCGAAAGTAACACCTCGCTCGAATCAACTCACATTCGATTTCGTTCGAATCAACTTAGAATCAACATTCAACCTCGTTCGAATTGACTCGCACTCGACCTCGTTCGAATTAATTAAGAGTAACATTCGACCTTGCTCGAATCAACTCGCATTTGACCTCGCTCGAATTAATCAAGAGTAATATTCGACCTCGCTCGAATCAACTCACATTCGACCTCGCTCGAATTAACTACGAGTCAACATTCAACCTCGCCCGAATTCAACTTACATTCGGCCTAACTCGATCTTGATTCACAGAATAACCTCATTCGAGTCAATTACGGTAACGTTCGACTTCACGCGAAGTAATTAAACACTCTATCACAACCAAACTAACGCCTACCAACATAATTCTTTCAATCAAGGCAATCATTTGAGGAAAATATTCAAAGGAAAAAATAGGAGACTCGGAAATAAACA